CATTCTTCAAAACATCTTCTTTTATATTCAACAGAAGTAGTTCATAAAGCTTCGAAACAAGTAAATGATGACAGAATGAAACATTTTTAGGTGAACTATCCCTTTAACAGCATATTGACATACAGGTTATGAATCATATCATGCTTCCTGAAACTTTTATGTTGCACATGAATCAGTCTGTCAGGAGCAGCAGTGAACTTAGATGATAATCTGACCATCTGCATGTGTGTGTGTCTGTGTGTGTGTGTGTGTCTGGACTTGCAGTACATATAACTTCGGCACAGATGGTTTCCAGACACCAGCAGGTGGAGGTTCGCTCTGCCTGGGTTCAGGTGTTCACGGCGGGGTCGACTGGATGAGAAAACTAGCCTTCCGCTACCGTCGGGTTAAAGAGATCTACAACACATACAAGAACAATGTTGGAGGTGAGAGAACAAACGCTGCTGAATTCAATGGAGCCTTTTCACATTTTCAGGTTTCTCAGTCGTGGAAGATCTCATAGTTGGTAAACTTAGGGCCCTATCATACACCCGGCGCAGTGTGGCGCAAGGCATGACGCAGTAGTCTTTTGGTAGTTTCAGCTTGGCGCAAGAGTTGTTTTGAGGCGTTGCGCTACGCTGTTTAAATAGCAAATGCATTAGCGCTCATATGTGCGCCCATAGGCATTCTGGTCTAAAAAGGAAGGCGTTCTGAGGCGCATTGCTGGCGCGTTGCTATTTTGAGAAACTATAATAGATTTTTCATTAGACCAAAACTAACCCGGTCTAAACTCCAGCGCAGAGTTGTGCCTCGCTCACACACTGCTTAATACACACAAGAGAGCAATAGGCAAATATCTTTAAATATGAAAAAATATAAATATTAAGGATATATATATATAGGATATAATAAGAATAGATATAGAATATAAATATAAAGGATTAAAATATTTTTAAAAACATTATTTTCTAGCCTACATAAATATGAAAAATCACTGCTTTTATGCCTTCTTCATCTCGGGAGGCTTTTTCTGTTCATTCATAACAATTTGCTTTTGTATAATGTTATTATTATTAGCAGTATTATTTATTATATCCATATTTTTATTTGTTTTATTAAATACAAGCTTAGATTTGTCAGGTTTTAGACCATATGGGGCACAGCATGTGTTTTAGGATATAACTCAGATTTTTGAGCACACTTCGTTATTATTGTTCATTTATTCGTTTGCTGGAAATTAGAACTGAATTTAGAAATAGTTTTGAAATGAATATTTGCGCTTAACAAACAAAAGTATTTATTTATAGACTAATTGATATCTGTGCGTAAAGGTTTCCCTATCCAAGAGCGAAAGTGAAAGTGATCCATTATCTCTCATTCACACGCAGTAGATGCTCTGTTTAACAGATTTCTGTTAAAAAACTGTTAACTGTTTGCTTGTGAAATGCTCATTTTTTCCACTTAGACTTACTTGGCGTCCTGTAAATAGCGAATGCGCTTATGGCGCGACGCAGCTGACTCTTAAAGGGAATGGGAGATGAGACTCTAATTGGTTTATTCTCAAAACACACCTATAACTCATTAAGAAAATTAACTCAACCCTTTTAGACCATGCGCCGAAGCGCAAGGCAGATTTCCCGTCCTTAAATTAGCAAAAACGCGTCCTGACACGCCCTGAAAGCGTTTGCGCCCTGCGTTTTGCACTTTGCGCATGGACCGTCAAAATAGAGCCCTTAGAGCGCAGGGAATGGGAGAGTAAAACAAATATGTTTTTACAATCCTATTTGCTGAAATAATAAAAGAAAAACTACACGGTGGTGTTATCAAGACTGTCAGAAAGAGGAAAACAATAGTGTGAGACTGATAACGGCAGCCAGAAGAGAGAACAACATCACATTTAGTGTCCTGCACCAAGAGACGCTGCATTAGAAACATCTAGAAACATCTAGAAACAACAGCATAAGCGGCGATTCATTTTTTAGTAATTTGATGCAAACATGATATAATACATACATAAACACATATAAATGTATATACGCTTTTTTTAAAAAATTGTAAATGATAAAAACTTTTAAGGATTTAAGATGCTGTTGACCGTTAAACACGTCATAATAGTCTTGTGAAAAGGGTCTGCTGTCAATAGAAGGACAATTATAGCCTGAAATGATGCTTACACAACAGAAATCTCCAGCTCTAATATCTGATTGGTTGAAGTGCGTTTGAAGCCGTTGGGTCACACACCTGCAGGCTGCTGTCAGGTAATATAATAATGTAAACGTTCTACTGTTGAGCTGATAAACTATGCAACAGCTGGGCAAAAAGATAATAGTGTAATAGTGATAATAATGTTTATAATAATAACAAAAAGAGGAGTTGTAACATCATTATTATTTATTATTATAATTATTATTAGACAGACAGACTGATAGTAATTATTATGGATTTACTATAGTGGAATTTGTAGTGAGTAATTAATAAATTAATTCTTTAAAAAAAAAACTGAACTAGGCAGAACGGTGGCACAGTGGGTAACACGATCGCCTCAAAGAAGGTCGCTGGTTTAAGCCCCGGCTGGGTCAGTTTGCATTTCTGTGTGGAGCTTGCATGTTCTCCACGTGTTGGTGTGGGTTTCCTCCGGGTGCTCCGGTTTCCCCCACAGTCCAAACTCATGTGCTATAGGGGAATTGGGTGAGTTATTTGTCCATAGTGTATGTGTGTGAATGAGTGTGTATGGGTGCTTCAAAGTGTTGGGTTATGGCTAGAAGGGCATCCGCTGTGTAAAACATATGCTTGATAAGTTGGCGGTTCATTCCGCTATGGCGACCCCAGATTAATAAAGAGACTAAGCCGAATTTTTTTTTTTACCAAAATATAAATTTGACGGTCATTAAACGATATAATTTATGAACTATGCACTAGGTGTAGTGTAGCATAGTATAGCATAAAGTATAGCTATAATTATTTGTATCATTAGTAGATACATATATGATAATAACAATAATAATAATAATAATTATTATTATTATTATGGATTTTAGAAATAAATTATCATTGTAAAAAAATATTAAAATTTTTTTATAGACATTGAAGAAAAGGAAAAAAAATAGAATAAAAAAAAAAAATATATATATATATATATATATATATATATATATATATATATATATATATATATATATATATATATATATATATATATATATATAAAATACACATACACAGTTTCAATCATAATTATAACCCAAGCACCCCCCCTCCTTATTTTTCCCCCCGATTTCTGTTTAACGGAGAGAAGATTTTTTTCAACTCATTTCTAATCATAATAGTTTTAATAACTCATTTCTAATAACTGATTTATTTTATCTTTGTCATGATGACAGTAAATAATATTTGACTACATATTTTTCAAGACACTTCTATACAGCTTAAAGTGACATTTAAAGGCTTAACTAGGTTAACTAGGCAAGTTAGGATATTTAGGGAAGTTATTGTGTAATGATGGTTTGTTCTGTAGATTATCTGAAAAAAAGTTAGCTTAAAGGGGCTAATAATTTTGTCCCTAAAATGTTTTTTTTTATTATTAAAAACTGCTTTAATCCTAGCCGAAATAAATCAAATAAGACTTTCTCCAGAAGATAAAATATTATCAGACATACTGTGAAAATGTCCTTGCTTTGTTAAACATCATCTGAGAAATATTTAAAAAAAGAAAAAAATAATAATTCTAAAAATTCTGATTGCAACTGTTTATATATATGTTTATATAACTGTATATATTTAAATTTAATTACTGTTACACATTACTGCTGTTATTGTATGTTCGCTGCAAAAAAATGCTTTTCTAATTTAGATATTTTTTGTCTCGTTTTTAGTCCAAATATCTAAAAATTCTTATATCTACAGGCATTTTCTAGGCAAGCAATATATATTGTATTGTTTTCAGAAATAATATGCCAATATTAAGGGAGTTTTTCCTTAAAACAAGCTAAATAATCTGCCAATGGGGTAAGCAAAATAATCTGGTTTTTCCATTTTACATAAGATTATTTTGCTTACTCCATTAACAGATTATTTGGCTTGTTTTTAGGAAAAATTCACCCTAATTTGGCATATTATATCTTAAACATATCAAGACAGTATGACTTACTTATCTAGAAAATTCTTCTTGATTTAAGAGTTTTTAGATATTTGGACTAGAAACAAGACAAAAAATCTAAGTAAGAAAAGCATTTTTTGCAGTGTTTTAATGTTTAAATTTTCTGCTCATCCTTGTAACAGGCAATCCTGTAAAATCACTTCTTTTTTTTGTATTCAGTAATATTGAAATAAGTTTAATGCACCAAACCTGTATCTTTGTTAGCTTTTAAAAGTGGTTGATCATTGCTCTTTTGTTATGCAGGTTTGTTGGGCAGCCCAAAGCGGGAGGAGTGGCTTCAGCTGCGGCGAGAGATGGAGGTTTTGACGGATCTGTGGCTGACGCAGGCTCTCAAAGCCCTCGCACTCATTAACTCCAGGTGAACAGCATTAACAACACAAATACAACAATACAGCTATACTTTATTGCCCATCGTGACATATGTGAGTCAAGCAACCTCTCATATCAGAGCTAATGTAGGGCGGGACTTAAGTGACGTGATTGTGGTTTGCCGTTGGTGGATCTCATGTGAGTGACAGGTGGAACACCAATCAGAGAAGAGATGTAAATAAAATTAAGTTAAAATTAAAAATAACTACAGTACCATTGTATAACAGTAGTTTGTTCTGTAGATTCTAAAACAAGTATTGCTTAAGGGGACTAATAATATTGATATTTTTTTTATTTATTGAAAACTACTTTTATTCTAGCCGAAATAAAATAAATAAGACTTTCTCCAGAAGAAATAAAGATAGGAAATACTGTCATCAAACATCATTTGGGAAATATAAAAAAAAAAAGGCTAATAATTTGGACAAGAAGGTCGCTGGTTCGAACCTCAGCTCAGTTGGCGTTCCTGTTTGGAGTTTGCATGTTCTCCCTGCGTTCGCTTGGGTTTCCTTTGTGTGCTCCGGTTTCCCCCACAGTCCAAAGACATGCTGTACAGGTGATTTGGGTAGGCTAAATTGTCCGTAGTGGATGAGTGTGTATGAATGAGTGTGTGGATGTTTCCCAGAGATGGGTTGCGGCTGAAAGGAAAGGCGACCCCAGATTAATTAAGAGACTAAGCCGTCAAGAAAATGAATGAATGAATAAATCATTTATTTATAAAATTTATAGCAATGTTCCATTAAAAATGTCAGTCCAGGTTTTCTGTGGTAATCGGCAGCATGCCTGAGTTACTGAATCTGGAATATTCTTTTAACAATAGACTTATTTTCTGGCTTCAGCAGTTTTGTGTCAGTCAAACGTAGCAGGTTTGGCAAGAGAAGCACAATGTCAGCATTAAAGATTGATGACTCTGATGGATGATGATTAATAAGTGCTTGAACTGTCAAGATATTTCTTTGTCTTATTTAACTGTTTCATATGACAAACATTCAGCAAAGCAGCTTTCTTCTGTACAATGAAATCCATGCAGTGACCTGAACTTGTCAAGCTTTATTTATAAAAGTAGTCTGAATGAACAGAGCATCGTATTTCATGTCTTTTGAATTCATGCAATTGGTATGTCTATAAAAACAGACACAAATGTAAGCCTTTACTCACTTATTTTATGTCAGTATTAGTATTTTGTGTTGTTTAGTATTGACATATAAAACAAAAACAATAAAAATGTTGTTTTTCTTGACTTCTCATTATTTCATAATAAAACATCCACAATAACCTGATGGATTAAAGATTCAAAAATGAAACTGAAATATAATTAAATGCTTATTTCATGTGTCAGAACTTACAAAATTGCAATATTTTGTTTTTCTGCAATATATATAGCAATATAATTTCACCAGATGACTTAAATAGCTCTATTTGCAAAGTCGTTGCTTGGGATGACTTAAACACAACACAATTGAGCAAATATTAGAGTGAAATAAACCATGCTTTATAGTGTTTTGAAGAGAGCAACAGTATTCAGGTAGAGAGATTGAGTCAACATATGTAGAATATGGCTGTATAGTCTTCAGCATATACATAATTTAATAGCATTTCTTCTTAGCCTTTTATATTTATGTTCAGTTATTTCATGTTAAAAGTGATGAAAATAACCTATTATTTACCACGAAAGGGAAATTAGTAAATCAAGACAAAGAAGCCTCAGAAAAAAATGCTAATATTAGAAGACATTTTCAGATGGCACTTAAGTTTTTGCATTATGTATATACATATACATACACACACACACACACACACACACACACACACACACACACACACACACAGTTGAAGTCAGAATTATTAGCACCCCTTTGATTGTTGTTTTTTTTTTTTTTAATATTTCCCAAATTGTGTTTTACAGAGCAAGGAAATTTTTACAGTATGTCTGATAATATTTTTTCTTCTGGAGAAAGCCTTATATGTTTTATTTCGGCTAGAATAAAAGTAATTTGTAATTTTTAAGGACAAAATTATTAGCCCCTTTTAACTATTTTTTTTTCTAATAGTCTACAGAACAAACCATCATTAAACAATAACTTGCCTAATTACCCTAACCTGCTTAGTTAACCTAATTAACCTAGTTAAGCCTTTAAATGTCACTTTAAGCTGTATAGAAGTGTCTTGAAAAATATCTAGTGAAATATTATTTACTGTCATCAAGGCAAAAAAAAAAAAATGTCAGTTTTTAGAAATGAGTTATTAAAACTATTATGTTTAGAACATGTGTTGAAAAAAATCTCTCTGTTAAAGTAGTTTTATTATTAATTAAATTGTGATTTTTAAAAAGTATGTTAATACTTGGTTCTACTGGTTAATTATGATTAATATATTTATATATTCAGTTGAAGTCAGAATTATTAGCCCGCCTTGAATTATTCACCACCCTGTTTATTTTTTCCCCTATTTTTCAACACATTTCTAAACATAACAGTTTTAATAACTCATTTTTAATAACTGATTTATTTTATCTAAGACATGATGACAGTAAATAAAATTTTAGCAAATAAGTAATAAAATATTATCGGACATACTGTGAAATATTTCTTGCTTTGGTAAACATAATTTATTATTATTATTTTTAATTCAAAAGGGGTTAAATAATTCTGATTTTAACTGTATATCATATTTCATGTCTTCTGAAGTCATGCAGAAAGAAAGTTTTTTCAAAAAAAAAAAAAAGCAGACACAAAAGTAAGCCTTTATTGACTTATTTTATGAAAAATTATAAATTAACATTTTTGTTTGGATGTATAAACTAAAAACTCTTTTTTTTCTTGACATTCTTGCCATTTTATAATAAAACATGCACCATAACCTAATGGATTAAATATGATTCTCAAATCAAAAATTAAATTAAATTAAATTAGTCATTTCATATATCAGAACTTACAATGTTAAAAATGATTTGAAATCTGCAACCAAAATCCCCTTTGTTAAAGATCTAACATATACAATCTAAAAATGGCCCCCTTTGTCAAAGCTCTAAATTTGTATAATTCTAATAATAACTAATAATAATAATTTTACTTTTAATGTTAGACGTTTCGAATCAAACTAACAATATGTTTTAATATAAAATCATTAAAATGCATCAGTTAAAATAATAACAAATCATGCTGTAACTCTGCTTTTGCACTCTCAAATCTTTTCATTTTCAAATGCTCTATTACTTTAAGACCGACTTTCACAAGTAAGATAACGAACATGTTTCCCTTTACAGACCGAACTGTGTGAATGTGTTGGTCACGACCACGCAGCTGATTCCAGCTCTGTCTAAAGTGCTTCTGTATGGTCTCGGAGGAGCGTTTCCCATCGAGAACATCTACAGCGCCACCAAAACAGGTCAGATGCTAAACAGCTTTGTTTCCCCTAGTGAAGCTTCAAAACCCTTATGAATCTTTTACTTTGAATCAGTGGTTCAGACTCAGAGCACATATCAAACTGGTACAGTCCTCTGATTTCAGTAAACAGGACTTGATTTCAGCATTGCTATTTCACAATGTCTCAAAAATGTAGAAATTTTAATGAGACACTCATGAAATGCACTGGAATAATTAAAGTTAATAGACTGTTTACAATAAAACAAACAAAATAAGCCTTGAATATCGATAAAAGAAGACATATTATGCAAGCACTAAATATTAAATGATTTTTTATAAAAAGTTAAGTGCATTTGTTAGGTTAAACTTTATATTTAACATTTACAAAAGTTATTTCAATTCAAGTTTGCCTGAGTTTTAGTTGCATTTACCTGGTTTTGACCAGCAGGTGTCACTAGCGCCTGCTGTTTTGAATGCTTCAAAACTGAAAATTGGTTCTGTTGTTTTGAACAGCTTTGTTTTTCAAATAGATTTACAAAACAGGCATCTTCAGCGAAGTCTTCAGACTTTTCTAGAAGCAAACTATAACACTGAGCATCTGTTACAGGTAAAGAAAGCTGTTTTGAGCGTGTGACGCAGAGGTTCGGCAGGAGAGCCGTGTATGTGGTCGTAGGAGACGGTATTGAAGAGGAGACCGTCGCAAAGAAGGTATGAAGTAATACCAACAAAACTTATGTATTTGCAATTACTCTGACTTGTAAAACATGCTATCACTGTAGTTTTTATAAGGACAATTAAGAGAATTAATACATAAGAACAAAAAAATCTATAGTATATTGCTAGATTCAGTCAGTAGTATGTTCCTGCTCAGTGTTTCTTGAACTGCATTTTTAGGGCCCTAAAGTTTTACCTCTGTTGGCAAGAATGATTCAACGGCCTCTAAATGGTCAACATGACCAAACATCCACTTTTACCTCTCACAGTTCACCTATTGTTTTGCCATCAAATCTTTACAAATTTTATTATAAGATAAACATTAAAACAACTAGTATTACAACACTTTATTTTGACTATTTCTCAGAGATCAAATGATATTCTCAAGCCTTTGAAACCTTTTGAGAAATTAATTTGTTTGTCAGTTATTATTATTATAAATATATATATATACACACACACAGACCTCGACATTAACAACCTGCCAACTGGCCAAATGGGGGTAGATTTCAGCTGTGGCGGGTTAGACAGACGCCCCCACTAGCCACTGTGGCTGGTTGAAAATAATTTTTAAATGGTCAGAGCTGCCTCGGCCCCTAAAGATTAGAATTTTAGTTTAAGACCGTTTGTGAATATGCGCACAAATAGGCTCTTAGAATCGAGAAACAGCATGACTGATAAGTGTTCGCACAAGCAAAAGAAAGCAGGTAAATACGACGAGACAAAGGCGATTCTCGCTCACTGACGTTGTGAGCAAGGCACAGCAGATGTGATGCACGCAAGTGCTTAAAAGTTCTCGCTTCTTTGCGCAAAACAACCGTGCTTTGTTGTACTACTGCAACTAGTGCAATTGTTTCTCTTTGAAATAGATAGGAAAAAAGTGGTGCTTGTGCACCCACAGTCCTGCTGCTTTCAAGAGATCTCCAGATTTTTGTATGCAGCAGCAGTAGCCACTTTCACTTTTACCATTCTTTGAACAGAGTATTACTGGGCCTAACGTTAACCAATACTTTCACTATCGCACAGAATGTTTTTCACTTTCTTTTCACCAAGACCATGGGGGGACGGAGGGGTGGTTGGGGGCATTCGCTACGCCACTGGATATATAGAGCTGTATTTAGCTTGTTTATTTTTTTAGAGATTTATTTTTGGCCTTTTTTAAGTGTATAGGACAGTATTTCAGACAGGAAGTGAAGTGGGGGAGAGAGAGAGAGAGAGAGACAGAGAGACAGAGAGAGGGTTGGGATGGGAAATGTCCTCGAGCTGGGATTTGAACTCGGGACACCCTAAAGTGATACTTCACCATATGTCAGCCCACTAGCCACTAGTTGCGCCGACTATATATTTAGTTTGGTGTGGTCAGAGAACAAGTTGGTAAATCCTTAGTGTTGAGCCCTAAAAAGAGTGTGTGTGGAGGGAGGGGGGTGGGTAAAATTGATAATTTTTAGCATGCCAAAGTCAAATTTATCAAATATAAAATATATTGGCTAGTGAAAATGCTGAGCGGCTAGTAATGTTGGAAAACTACTAGTCACAGTGGCTGGTGATCAAAAAAAGTTAATGTCAAGCCCTGTATACATCTCATTTTTAAATCATTATTGTTATTATTATTATATTTTAATTATTATTTAAGATTTTTAAAAAATTTCATTTTAAAATATTAGTTTTTTATTATTATTAATTTACATTCATTCATTCATTCATTTTCTTGTCGGCTTAGTCTCTTTATTAATCTGGGGTCGCCACAGCGCAATGAACCGCCAACTTATCCAGCAAGTTTTTACGCAGCGGATGCCCTTCGAGCCGCAACCCATCTCTGGGAAATATTAATTTACATATTAATGTTCACCAGATGTTTGATAAATTACTGATTCATATTCTTTTTCCCCACTAATTTTTTTTTCTCTTAAAACGGGGTCAAAATAACAAATCATTTATTTGTGATTATTGAAAGTAAAGATTCCACCTGCTATTTCTTTCGTAATGCTTCTGAAATAAAAATATGGCTATTATGTTGTCTAAGAATCAATATAAAGGTTAGTAAACAGTATTTTTTTTTACCAATTATAAATTATAAACACAGAGACACTGGGAATATCCAAGTGGTCTCATAATATAGTATATAATATAGATTTGTGTTAGAGATACGTCTGAAAGTAGTTGTTTTGTGTGTTTCTACAGAAGAACATGCCGTTCTGGCGAGTGACGTGTCGAGCGGATCTGGAGGCTTTGAGTCATGCACTAGAGCTGGATTACCTCTAGAGGGCGGCGTCTGCTTATCTGTGTCCCGCTGCGTCCAATCACATGACTGCACCACCAATCAGCAGAAAGCAGCAATCAGACTGGAAATCAACCCGAGAGAAACGCTTTCGTCTCCTTCCCGCTCTTTCATTCACTCCACAACAGCACTGCACTGAAAAACAGCAGAGATCTGACTGAGAATCAATAACAAACGACCACGCTGCTCATACTAGATAGAAAACCAGATGACAAACTCCAAACCTGTCTCCCAGAATCCAATGCACTTGACTCGACCTGCCATTTCCAGACATGGCTTTTCACGTCACATCTCTACACGTCACCAAAACTGGATTCAAAATGCGAAATATTTTTTATTTCAGAGATGATAACTCGAGGTCATGTGACAATGCAGAATACTACTGTTTCAAACTATGATCACTGCATAAAGTGTACTGTGCCGCATATTATTTTTGTATATCACGCAGCGTAAGCTGTGCAGTATGCTGTAATGTTTGTTAGTTTTGTTCTGAAATGACACCAGAATACAAAGGAGGGTGCAAAATGCAAGATTTGAGCATTTTAAAAATTTTTATTTGAAAATAGGGGACCTATTATGCAAAAATCACTTTTAAAAGAGGTTTAAACACAGTCATGTGGCAGCAGTGTGTGAATATAAGCAGCTTCTAATGGTAAAACTGTAGTAAATGTTTTATAATCACACTTGATGAAAACAGTCTGCAGAAACTCTTTGATTGACATTTTCCCTTTGTACGTGTCATCAGAGGGGGAAAGCCCCTCCCCTAAGTGGTGAGCTCATTAGCATAGGATGTTATTAAATCTGACACTATGCTTACACATGGGCACATAGCTCCGCCCTCACTTTAAATTTAAAGCGACAGTCACCAATATGACACAATTAGGATCAAAACCCATAAGGGTCTGTTTCAAACAGTTAAAACATAATTTGTGTGGCATTTTGAGCTGAAACTTCACACACACATGCACACACTCTCAGGACATCATAGACGTATTTTACATCTTGTAAAAAGGGGTATAATAGGTCCCCTTTAAACCACAAAATCATACGCATTTCTTAAACAACTAAAAATCATGAGTAAATGGTGAAAAAAAACTGGATTTTATGTAATTTTGACTAAATATATTTTCGTTTATTTCATCTTGCTGTGTCAAACCAAATTAACTACATATTGCACCATACATGAAATTGATCAATATAACATGCTATTGTACTGAGTCTGCAGAAAAACTAACCCCTTACTTCTTTATACGAGTACAAAGTGCTGCAAATCCAGCTATTTTAATGGCAAAACCCACCTGGAGATGATTTCAAAAGTGAACTAACCGTGAAATTGAGTGTTGCAGCACATGATAATAATGCTTCTGGTACTGAACTGAGATCAGCTTATGTCTGTCCTGTGAGTTTTTCTCCCTGCACTTGAAGCCGACTGCGTCTCTTGCCTGAACATCGTGCGGTTTCTGACTGGATGTATATTATTTGTTGTACTTTTGCTGAAGTTGATCTATTTACTGTATGTGCCGCTGATCCTGCATGTGCTTTTCACACCACCTCTTCTGTTCGCAATGATTTGTATATATGGTTTAATTGTTGATTATTTCTGGGCTTGTTATTATAGAATAAAGATAAATTAATTTCAGTCTTAAGTCTTTCTTTTTAAAGCTGCTTTGGTCTTGTGGAATGTGAAATCAAGAGCTGATCTATCTATAAACCATCTATCCATCAATCTATCCACCCATCCATCTATCCATCCATCTATCCACCCACCTGTCTATCGATCTGTCCGTCCATCCATCTGTGTATACATCTGTCTATCCCTCCATGTGTCCATCTATCTATAGCAATGGAGAGAAAGAGAGAGAAAGACAGCAAAACAGACCTTATTATTTTAGTTTGTGATAATGTTATAATTTAAACTCACATTATTATTACTGTAATGTCAAGAAAAATGTCACAAAATGTCATTTAATTTACTAAATAATATACACATACATAATATAATATTTGATGTGATATAATATAATACAAATATCCAGATAAGCAGCAAAGAATGACAATGATAATAATAAATAACAATATACATGTACATAATATAATGTAATGTAATATAATACAATGTAATATAATATCCGAATAAACAGCAGACAATGATGAAAATATAATAAATTATAATGTAATGTCATATGATATATAATATTCAGATAAGCAGCAGACAATGACAATAAAATATAATATATGACATAAAATCCAAATAAACAGCAGACAATGATGAAAAAATTTATTATAATGTAATATAATGTAATGTAATAATAATATAATATAAAATTGTATAATATAATATAAAATAATAATGTAATATAGTATAATATAATAAAAAATAATAATATAATTTCATATAAAATAATATAATATAAAATAATAATATAATAAAATATATTATAATATAATAGTATAACATAAAATAAAATAATAATATTATAAAATAATATAATAATAATATAATATAAAATTATATAATATAATATAAAATACTAATATAATATAATATAATAAATTAATATAAAATAAAATCATATAATATAATATAATATAATATAATATAATATAATGTAATGTAATATATAATAATGTAATATAATATAATGTAATGCAATGTAATGTAATATACAATAATGTAATATAATATAATATAATAAAATATAATGTAATGCAATGTAATGTAATGTAATGTAATGTAATGTAATGTAATGTAATATAATATAATATAATGTAATATAATATAATATAATATAATATAATATAATATAATATAATATAATATAATATAATATAATATAATGTCCCATTAAGATTAAATGGAAAACCACATGAGGGAGATTTAAATAATGAGATGAATCATGAATATATATTTTTTGTCGAAGTATTTAGGCTAAACATTATTATTTATCTACATTCTGAACATATACTTTGAAAAAATCAGAGCTGCTTTGTCATAATTACATAAAACACACTTGAATAATAAATAAACATGATTATTTAAATGACTAAATGGATAGTTCACCTCTCAAAAAATGTCATTTACTCACTCTCAAGAGGTTCCAGACTTTTAAGAGTTTCTTTCTTCTGCTGAACACTAAAGAAGATATTTTAAAGAAGGCTGAAAACCTGTAACTATTGACTTCTATAGGAAAAACAAGTACTATTGAAGTCATTGGTTACAGGTTTCCAGCATTTTTTAAAATATCTTCTTGTGTGTTCAACAGCAGAAAGAAACTCCCAAAGGTATGAAACAAGTAAAGGATGATGAATTACAATATTCATTAAAACACACACACATGTATGCTACAAAATACCGCAAATGAACTGTACTCCACATTAACTGTAGATTACTTTTCAACTAAAAAAAAAGAGACAGTTATTTTATTTATTGTTGTTATTAGCAAAACTGATGAGACTAATTAAGTAAGACAAATTTAAAAAATGTATTGTTTCATTGGCATTTCAATTTGATATCTTTATTTATAATGTGATATATAATGTTGGTCCCACTTTATATAAGTGTCCTTAACTAATTTGTACTTACACAGAAATGAATAATTATTTACAATGTATAAATTGTGTAAATACATGTATTTACTGTGTACTTATGCTAGATTAAATACCTGTATGTAATTACATCTGTAACTAACTTCTGTAATTAAATTTGTAAATACACTGTTGACCATACCTTACACCTCAATACACCTTTAAACCTACCCATACCACCAAACCTGTCCATAACCCTACTCCTATCCCAACTCACGAGTTCCACAAGTGTTCTCAAATACATTATGAACACAGTAAGTACGATGTATTTATTTTTTTATGTAAGTACATAGTAGTTAAGGACACTTAATATAAAGTGGGACCATAATGTTTATAAAAATGTTTATTATAATCTTTATACGTTACATTATAACCATTATACTTTAAGAAAAATCATAGGTCTTCGAAGAGAAAACATCCTACACTATAGTGATCTAAAAAATAATTAACTATTATTAAATAATTAATAATTAATAATTATTTCTTAAATAATTAAGAAAAAAAAATCCTATAGAACAAAGTGAAATTCCTTAAAAAAATGTCTAATAATTATAAAAATCTAAATCAGATCCAAAAGACAAAGTGGAAATTCCAATAAATTAAGTCATGATGCCCAAAATGATTTAAAATCCTATAGGACAAAGTGAAAATCCAATAAGAAAAATTCTGAATGTCCATTAGAATTTTAGGAATGCATTAAAGGATAAACTGAAATTCCAATAGGATTTTTTGACCAGGGAAATAGGTGAAATCTCTCAATAAATAGACACGACATGCTATAACACAGCTTTGCCTCCACCTGCTGGAACTGTACCGTAAATGCAGCAACTGTCCTCAAACAGCGGCTCGTTTACCGTCTTTATTTGCCTTTTAGTGACACTTCCAGCAACGGTCTGCACATGTTGTGTTTGTGACTTTGTACCTTGAATCTGTGCCACATAAAACAAACGGAGAGCCTCGATCTGCCCCAGATTACAGCTCTTTTATTGACAGATCATCATCATGAGATGTGCTGCTCGTAAAGCAGTGTGTTTGGAGGAGTTTCTCAGCGAGTTTGATCTCATAGCAAAAGTCAATGACTCCGTGTGTTTGTCTGATGGTTTTATTGTGCGGTTAAACTGTTCTAGATCAACACCGGTCATAGGCTACCATTAAAAAACAAAACACAATGACATCTGGCTTGCAGAACACACTCCACGTATCCGCCTTTTTGCTATACGCCAATTATACCTTGCGAATTATGGTAGGAACTTCCGGTTGATTTTTTTAGCCAACTTTAAACTTCCGGTGAAAGGTTATGTGACTAAACTAAATTTTAGTTCTTTTTACAGCAACGTTATTGTGATACATTGAGTTAAATAAAGTTAAGCATTAATTTAGTTTTTGAATCTGAAAAAAAACAGCTTAAACCAGCCCTAGCTGGTTGGCTGGTTTTAGCTGGTTGACCAGGGTGGTTTAAGAGGGGGTTTAGACCCTTTCAGGCTGGTTTCCAGCCATATCCAGCCTAATTTTTGCTGGTCAGGCTGGAAAATGACCAGCTAAAACCAAGTTGATCTGGTTTAAACTGGACATAGCTGGTTTTGGCTGGGCTTCCAGCCTGGCTAGGCTGGTCAAGCTGGTTTTAGCTGGACATCTCCCAGCCTGACCAGCTAAGACCAGGCAGGAAATAGCTGGAATCCAGCCTGGAAGTGGCCAAAACCCCTCTAAAACCAGGTTGTTCTACCAGCTAAAACCAGCCTAGGTTGGTTTAAGCTGTTTTTTTAGTAAGGGTACGAGATGAAACTGTAATGTTAGCTCCATCATTAGCAGCAGGCTAGTGCAGAAATTCCATTGAAATACTGAGGTAAAATGAATGTTCATGTTTTAAAGGCATGGCGGGGAACCATAGAATTTAATGTAGTGCTTCATGTCCAGTCTGAGACATACTTTTTATTGTACATAAATCAGGCAATGGAGATCACAGATTTTTTTAAAGGCTCACAAAACACCAGGACACATTATTTGAGCTGTTGACAGTCATATATGTGTCCCGCGCTGCTAAAAACACTATTATGACACATATATTACACAAAAAAGTGGAAACTGGTTGTTTTTGCGTTATTTTGAGCAAATTTGTTCTTCCGATTTGAAGCTACACATGACAGAAATCCGCTTTCCCTGCTGAAAAATCCAGCTTAAACCAGCCTAGGCTGGTTGGCTGGTTTTAGCTGGTCGACCAGGCTGGTTTTAGAGGGGTTTTGGCCACTTCCAGGCTGGTTTCCAGCCATTTCCAGCCTGGTCTTAGCTGGTCAGGCTGGGAGATGACCAGCTAAAATCAGCTTGACCAGCCTAGCCAGGCTGAGAGCCCAGCCAAAACCAGCTATGTCCAGCTTAAACCAGGCTGGTCAAGCTGGTTTTAGCTGGATTAAGCTGGTCATTTTTCAGCCTGACCAGCTAAGACCAGGCTGGAAATGGCTGGAAATCAGCCTGGAAATGGCCAAAACCCCTCTAAAACCAGCCTGGTCGACTAGCTAAAACCAGCCAACCAGCCTAGGCTGGTTTAAGCTGGATTTTTCAGCAGGGTTGTGAGCCATTTCAACTGTGACATTTTGAAAATATACATAAATAAGCAGTTTTCCGTATTTTGTAATTAATTTTTTATTTATTATTATTATTTTAACTGCAACTATGTAATATTAATAATTAATTAATAATTAATTTGTTGAACATGAAGTGTACACATTTTATTCGATTTAATGAGTAAATTCAAATATTTAAATAATAAATGTATCAGAAATAATCCATATTTGTTGTCATTATTAATAATATTATGTATATTATTTCAAATGCGGGGCACGATGGCTAAGTGCATGGGTAGCAATGTCGCCTCACCAAAAGAAGGTCTCTGGTTCGAGTTACAGCTGGGTCAGTTGGCATTTCTGTGTGGAGTTTGCATGTTTTCCCTGTGTTGGTATGGGTTTCCTCCTGGTGCTCCGGTTTTCCACACAGTCCAAACGAATGCACTATAAGGCAATTGAATAAGTTAAATTAGTCGTAGTGTGTGTGTGTGTGTGT